GCAACAGCAGAGCACTAAACCAGGCACAGAGCCTGGCGCAACTGCTCAGGTCACACACACATGAAGCTGGTTGGTATCCAGGAGATTTTGAAGTTAGAGTCAACAGCATGTGCTGAGTAATTAAACGTAAGGTATGAGAGAGGCAATAGTCAAGACGGCACTAGGGGCTGGGCACGGTAGCTCATGCCTGTAATCCCAGCACTCTGGGAGGTCAAGGTGGTTGGATAGCTTGAGCCCAGGAGTTTGAGATCAGCCTGGGCATCATGGTGAAACCCCTATCTCTACAAAAAATGGAAAAATTAGCCGGGCATGGTTGTACCCCTGTAGTCCCAGCTACTCGGGAGGCTGAGGCACAAGAATTGGTTGAATTCGGAATATGGAGGTTGCAGTGAGCCGAGATCACACCACTGCACTCCAGCCTCGCGGCAACAGAGTAAGACTCTGTCTCCAAAAACAACAACAAAGATGGCACTAGGGTTTTGACCTGGAAGAGTGATGTTGCAACTGAGATGAAGATAAGATGAAGTTGACTGTTGCAGGAGCAGCATGGAGTGAGGGGTGGAAATGATGTTAAGTTTGGGGTATTTATTAGATATCCAAGTTGAAATGCTAGTTGGGAGTTGAACAAGCCTGCAGTTCAGGGGAGGGTGAACTCGGGAGTTGATAATTGATAATATTAAAAGCCACAAGACTGGATGAGGCCACCAAGAAAACGTGAAGAGAAGAAAGTATGAAGAGGTGAGAAGGAAGGACTAGAGAGAGAAAAGAAAAAATAGGAGAGTATAGTGTTTTGAAGGCCAAGGAAGAATGTGTTTCAAAGAGGAGGGAGAATCAGCCGAGTCAAGTGCTGAGAGGGCAAAAACAAACTGAGGGCTGGAAATGCCAATGGGATTGCACATTACGGAGGCCATGGGTGATCTTCACAAGAGTGGTTTCAGGGGAGTGCTGAGGGTAAATGAGACGGGGGCTCAAGAGAATGGAGAAGAGAAATTGGAGCTGGCAACTACAGATAATCCTTTCAATGAGTTTTGCTTTACACTAAAAGGGATGTGGAGACAAGAAAGGGTATTTTTAGGCTGGGAAAAATAACAGCATGTTTGTAAGCTGATGGAAAGAACCAGGAGAGAAAGAAAACCTGATGATATATAGGGGAGAAATGCTGATGTGCCACGACTGAGAAGCAAGAGAGGATGAGATTTAGTGCACACGTGGAGGGGCTGGCATCCATTCTGAGAACAGACAGTTCACCTGAAACAGCAGAGAAAGTGAAATGTATAGACATGAGTAGGTAGGTAGATGTGGTGGGAGGTCCCAGATGTTCTATCCTTATTGCCTCTGTCGTCTCAGTGAAAGAATTCAAGATGATCAACTGAAAGTCAGAAAAAGGAAGCATTTGTATTTGAGGAGAGAAAGGTATGAAATAATTGTCTAGAAGAGTGAGAGAATGAATCAGGGAAATATGGTACAATTACATATTTACCCACATATAAAGTAATACTGATATTATCATCATCACCAGTTCCTGTATCCCTCAATCTCCTCATCAACAGGTATTTCATCACAAAATTTGGTTTTGGTGACATACTTCAAATATATTTTGAAATATCCTTATTATATGATGCTTTTTAAATATTAATAAAATATTTATATCATTTCAGTACTATTGATGTTCCAAACTCATACATTTTCCAGTAAAATTGAACAAAGACATTGGTTTAAAATTGCCTACTGACCACAAGATGAATATGGTTCTACCTGTTATTTTAAGCCTGACGGTGTGGCAGAGTAATTTTCCAGGCATTACCTCAACTACAAAGTTCTCGGCATGTTGCCACCAGTGACGGGGATAATCTCATGATTAGATAATAAGACCCTCTTAGTCAGGGTCACCCAGACTATGGCCTCTTACTGACAACACTTAGCCCAATTCAGTGCCCCATCTCACTTTCCACCGAGTGACTGCCTAATTTGGCATCTCATACAGAACTACTGCAAGGAGATACAGCCACTTTACTCACCACTGTGTCCTCTGGCACTGTGCACAGAGCAGGCACTCAAATTTGTTAAATGGCTAGCACTTTCTAGACATAGTAAAAGTGACAAGCAAAGGACCAAAGTTATGTTTGAAAATAACAGGGTAGTGGTAGCTACTTCCCCCAACTTTTTGACGGTACTGGCAACCCCTGAACACCACGGTTATATGGCAGATAACTAATAACTAGAGTCAGATGTAAATAGGGTAATCTGTCCACTCTCCGTTCAAAATGCCTTCCTCCTTGCTTGCTTTATGAATGTTCTGATGCTGCTATTCTCAAGACTTAAATCCTCTTCACTGGCAAGCCAACCATTATTGTCCAATTCTCATTAAGGATTCATGTGATTTACTGGCATAATGAAAAACGGTATTAAACACACTCTCATGGATGAACTAGAAATTGCTAAGATGTAATGTAGTACACTAGCCCCAGTGAATGGAGTCAGTAGTAAATATGCCTTGACCTGCTTTCTTTTTGCTGCAAGGAACACAAGGCATATAATCACAAACTATCAGTCATACATCTAGTTTACAGCTGTCACTTGCAAATAAAATCGTGTTCATTTCATTCAGGTTCATGCACTCTTTTGAAAAGCACAGACATCCAAGAAAATATTTTGATACTTTAGCTGAACCTCAACTTATGAAAAAAAGCCAATTTGCCAGAGGTACATTTTGGGTAAAGGATTCCCTGCTTAACAAAAGTACTTAATGTAGAGTTTCTTTAAATAGTGACTTCCTTTAAAGCAGCAAACTTCAAGCTTTTCTGTGGTTAGTGCTACTCATCTGAAGTTTCAAAACGTAATACTAAGGATTTGTCTTTGCACCAGAGATGGCCACCTCCTCCAAAATGGCCAGTGGCTACAGGGAAAAATGTGAATAATCTCTAATATACTTTTCAGGCTTTTATCATGGACTGGTTAAAACAAAAAAGCCTTGTCCCCTAAAAGCATTTATGTTGGTTTGCAGAAAAACAATTAGCAGCTAAAGTAACTACTATAACTAGAATTATATATTAGAAGCAACTTCCAGTTGACCTCACATAATGGTCATAACCAACAGCTATTTATTCTGTGCTGGGCATTAACTGCCTTCCTCTATGAGGCAGAGCAACTGAGATAGCTGTTAGACTTTTCTCCATTTTATAAATGAACTTAGGCAGTTTATGTAGACACTAAGAAGGCAAAGCATTCTGAACTGCCATAAAGGAATACAAAATTATGATTCTGAGTACAAAAATGTGACTATATATATTTCAGTCAACTGAAATCAATTTCACTAACTTAGGTATATGAATATACATACTCAAGACATGAGTCTTGAAAGCATGCTATTTAGTTTGCTTTCAACTGACAATTTCCTACCAATATTAAGAACAGTTCTTGTGTTCTTATACAGTTTGTACTTTTGTTCTTTTGCATCTCTTGTTCCCTCTACCTGGAATGTCCTTCCTCCTTCCTCTACCTATTGAAATTGTACTCATCCTTCAAAGCACAGCTCAAAATGCAAGTCCTTTCTGATGCATTTTCCTATACTGGTGTATTTATCACTACCAAGTGTAAAAGCATATTGGAAGAGATTTACCAAGTGGACTGGAAATATTGGTAAAAGATTGACCAACTAGACTAGAAATGGGGGAGGAAAGGCATTTTCCCAGCAAAGGGCACAGGCAGGAAATAGCACGTTGTTTACAGGAAACCCCAAATTGTTAGGCTGCAAAGGACTTTGCTGGATTGAAAAGGAAACTAGATGGGCTAGTTTAATCTTTTAAGTGATGGTGAACCACAAAGGGGTGTTAAGGGGAAGAAAAAATTCTTAATAAACTGTTAGGAAAAAGAAAAACAACACTGTGAAAATTTGGAGTGGACTTGTGATGAGACTGGAGTCCATTGCGGTAATCAGCACAAGAGGTACCAAGGCCTGCAGGCAATCCACAGGTTTTTGGAAGGGAAGACTCAGGAAGAATGAGAGATAATAACAACATGTTCTGCTGGCCGAGTAAGTATGGATGATGGTGTTGGAGGGACTGCCCAGGGGGGCTCCCAGGTTTCTGGTTTGGGTTATGAGGAACATTTTGGCAATGCTAATCTTCCAGGCAGGAAATACTGTAGGAGGGGGTCTGGGGGTAAAGGGTGAAATGAGGTTTTTGGGACATGTTGACCTGAATGGCTGATGGGACACTCAAGAGAATTCAGTATGCAGTGGGAATAGGTCTAGAACTCAGACCTACAGATAAAAATATTGGAGTCATTAGCCTATTAATGCTATTTGGAACTGTGGGATTAGATGAGGCTGATTAGGTACGAGAAGACAGCCAAATATGGAAGTTTAGTAAACCAATGTGGAAGAGGCATACCAAGGAAGAAAAGTCAGTGAAAAACTTGGAACTAAAAAGGGTCAGAGATGTAGGAGGGCAGGTCATAGGAATAATTAAAAAAAAAAAAAAAAGTATCAAATGCAACAGAGTGATATGGTAAGACATGAAACTAAGAAGTCAACATGAGCTATGCTCAGGAGTATCCTTCATGATTTCAGTGAAAACAGTGCTACGGTGGGGGCAGAAGGGTGAGGAAAAGTAGAAAGTAAAAAGTAGAAGGGAGGAGGGTTTATCACTCTTTCAGACAGAAACTGTAACCCTTACTTCAAAGACCTGATAGTAACTAGAGAAAGAGAGAAGTTCAAGGGAAATCTTTCTTATTGTTGCTTTTTCCATTTGTGGGTTTGCTTTGTTTTTTAAACAGAAAGATTCAGGGCAATTTCAGATTCTGTATTAGGAGCTATGGAAAGAAAGTGCTTCAAGACCTATCAACGTAGGGTGTAACTGGCGGTTCAGGGTCTGAGACGTGTTGGGAGTGCTTAGATCAACAACAGATATCTGGCTTTCAATTGTCTTCATCTCTTTGTAGAAATTTCTTCGTAGTACATAATGCAGGCATTTCAGAAACAAATGAATACAAAAACCATATTAGTTCATGATATTTATTACTGGGGTTGTTTACCGAAAAGTATTTTATCCACTGTTAACTTAGGCATAAGAATAATTGTCTCGTGTGACTTCATTTTAGAACTTTTACTTTTTAAAAAAATCATAAAATGGTCTGTATCTGAGAAGATACTAATTTCAATGTTTTAAAAAGTGAGGGGAGTTGAAGAGGGGGGTTTTGTTCATCCCTCAGTAGCTGCGACCAAATAAGGTGTAGAACTTGGCAGGGTTCTTGCCACAGACACATTTGGCTCCAGGCTGCAGTTCACAGAGTGGTTTGAAGGGGATGCAAAGGCTTTTAGCTCCCATGGATGGAGCACCAGGTTCAAGATCTTGATCCCTGAAATTAATAACAAATAAGAATTCCATTCATTTATGGTGCACATTGCTATTCCTTTCCATTGCAATAAAGTTTTACCAGTTAATTAGGTTTACCTGGCAGTGGTCTTTTTGATCCAGTCCTCACAGTCAATTTCCCCACAGAATGGAATCTGAACAATCTAATTATGAAAAGGAGAAGTATTCAGTATTTATAACTCCTTCAATTCTATTCTGTAGAAGGAACATTTGAGTTCTACATTAAACTTGCAAGCAAAAAGGATAGGTCTCCCAGTCTTTTTTCAGGCCATGATACCTCTGCAAACCTGCTAGGAACTTTGCTCAGTTATATAAGATAGGAAAAAATGTTTTTCCACTATCCAAAACCCACGCTCACAGCACAACAAGACACAACAAAGACATCTTTGCAGTACCCTCAAATCTCCCCATAAACTGGGCTACAACACAGTGGCTGAAAAGAATTTGAACTCCAGTTATATCTCCCTCATTTCAAACCTGGACTACACCTGCTCCACCTATCTAAATGGTTATGAGGAGGATAAAAGGAACATCAAAAATAGCAAACTGATTTTTAACGTGCGGTTAACAATAACAATTAACAATCAGGCAAACTTCACTTTATGCCACAATGTTCCTAACATGCTATAAAGGTAAGTGGATCATTTTTAAAGTCCAAAAATAATTTTGTGTAAGGAAAAAAAAAAAAAAAACCTTTTAATTTTTCTTTCTTAGACTACGTAAAACAAAGGCCGAATCAAGATACTTGGGATTTTAATTTTTAAAGTCACCACGTGTTTGAAAATCTCTAGCTCTGGGTTTTCTTTAAATAAAATGTGGATGTTACACTAGACAAGTATTAAAACAAAAATTTTTTTTGAGACACAGTCTCACTCTGTCACCCAGGATGGAGTACAGTGGCATAATCTTGGCTCATTGCAACCTCTGCCTCTTGAGTTCAAGCAATTCTCGTGCCCCAGCCTCCCAGCGTATCTGGAATTACAGGCATGTGCCACCATGCCCAGCTAATTTTTGTAATTTTAGTAGAGATGGGGCTTCTCCATGCTGGCCAGGTTGGTCTCAAACTCCTGGCCTCAAGCAGTCTGCCTGCCTCGGCCTCCCACAGTGCTGGGATTACAGGCGTGAGCCACTGGATCTGGCCAACAAATATTAAAATTTCTCCTAGTTGTGAATACTAATTTTTAAAGCATGTCTACTTCAAAATGAGGCTTATCTGCAATGACAATTATGTAGTAGCCCTACAAAATATTCCTGGAGAGTTAATGTGGGGAATAGCAAAGTTGTGAATATCTCCACATATTAGAAATACAGTGTGAAGCAGCTGAAAACCTAGAGATCTATGAAAATGGAGACCCAAGAGACATCAGCAGTAACAGCAACATGCTTCCAGCTTCCTCAGCAGCTTCTCATCAACTATTCCCAGCCACACAGTCCATACTTGAGTTCCTCCTGCAAACCCTTCCTTGCACTTGGGATTTCGTTTAACATGTTTCAAAAGACATCTCTTAGAAGTGAATAGGGACTAGGAAATTACAGAAAAACAAGTAATTCATTAGGTGAACATTAATGCAGGGTGATGAAGCGTTCGTTATCTAGGCAACTTATGCTCCTTCAGTAAAATGTATTAGCCTAATTCCCAAAGTTGATGAACTGTCTTTTTGATAATCTGGGTTAACACAATAAAGAGGTGGTAAATTTTCAGGTAGGCACCACACAGTGCCTGGCTTTTTAAAAAGACCAAACAAGGCCTGGTGCAGTGGCTCACGCCTGTAATCCCAGCACTTTGGGAGGCCGAGGTGGGTGGATTGCCTGAGGTCAGGAGTTCGAGACCAGCCTGGCCAATATGGTGAAACCCTGTCTCTACTAAAAATACAAAAATTAGCTGGGCGTGGTGGCACGTGCCTGTAGTCCCAGCTGCTTGGGAGGCTGAGGCAGGAGAATCGCTTGAACCTAGGAGGCGGAGGTTGCAGTGAGCCGAGATCATGTCACTGCACTCCAGCCTGGCAGCCTGGGTGACACAGCGAGACTCCGTCTCAAAACAAAAACATAACAAAGAAACATAGACATAGTCAGTGTGATGGTGCATGACTGTAGTCCTAGCTACTCCAGAGACTAACATGAGAGAATCACTGCAGCTCAGGAGTTGGGAGTCCAGCCCAGCCAACATAATGAGACCTCGTCTCAAAAAAAAACACGGATTAATAAAAAAGAATAAAAAAGACACAATCTTTTGTAATATGTAATATCTCAAATTCCTTAGAAAATGTCAATAACAAGAAATGGCAATACTCAAAAATCACAAATACAAGAGATTAGTAAGGGATGGCAGTAGTAAACAATAAATATTATATACACATAGCATTTATTTTTCATTGAATTAAGATTCTCCCTTGGCAAAATGTACTAAAATCAAGTCCTAGTAAAAACAGATATAATTTTTCATTTATACCAATAAAGAAAAGTAGAAAGATCCAAACTTTCCCCTACATTTAAGTTCCAAAGATCTCTTCTTCCTTCTCCCCTCCTAGCAGATACAATTTTATTTACAACAACCTCAAAGGTTGCTTGATGGTCAATCAATACATCTACTAAGCTGACCAACATAAGGTGAAAAGGGGGATGGAACTGCCTACTGAATAAAAGAAACAAAAATTTGTTTTCTGGTCCTGTGTTCTTTGGACATAGAGCTAAAATACCACAGCTTCTACTTCAGAATAGTTATTGAAATCTCTACAGTAACTTATCCAATATTAGAATAAAAGATATGATTCCAACAATACCTGCTGGCATTCATTTCTTTGAAAGCAATGTTTTAACTGATAGTTACTCTACTGATTTATTAACTCTTATGCAATGTCTTTAATAGACTGCTCAAACATGACTACAGTATTTCTACAATAAAGGAAAATTTTAAATTCAATAACAGAACAAAAAAATCATAAATTAGAGTGAAAGAAAAAACGCAGTGCTACAGATGGCTACCCACTGTCTAGCCTTCTATTAAAAGTAGGAAGTTTGAGGCCAGGCGCAGTGGCTCACGCCTGTAATCCCAGCACTTTGGAAGGCCAAGGCAGATGGGTCACTTGAGGTCGGAGTTCAAGACCAGCCTGACCAAAATGGCAAAACCCCATGTCTACTAAAAATACAAAAATTAGCTGGGTGTCGTGGCAGGCGCCTGAAATCCCAGTCATGCGGAAGGCTGAGGCAGGAAATCGCTTGAGCTTGGGAGATGGAGGTTGCAGTGAGCCAAGATCTTACACCACTGTACTCCAGTCTGGGCAACAAAGCAAGACCCCGTAACAAAAAAAAAAAAAAAAGGAAGTTTGAGTCAAGTGAAAAATTACAGAACCCAGAAAGGTGAAAAAATTACAAAAGCAATAACCCAATAAGGATAGAAGGCTAAATACTGAAGAATTATAGATCTAAAGAGGATTTCGATATCTATTTTGTACTCATTTTACAGAATAGTAAAATGAAAGCCAGAGATTAATTTTCCCAGTTTAAGAAATAAGAGACATATCAATATGTTATGACCATAACAATTAAAGCTTTACATAAATTCATGCTCATTCTCAGCATGGATTTAAAACATAAAAAAAGATACAGAGAAAAATGCTTTAAACCTAGTCAGAAGAGGGATCTAAATTCTGTCGAGTTTGGGGTATTCATTTAGACACTGGCCCATGGTTTTCTCACTTGTAACCGGAGGACACAGGATTGGTTGTATTCAAACATGTATACCAGAATACTAAAGACCATAAGTGATTCATTCCAATAATTAAATAACTTTGCAAAACTGAAATTCTTCTTTATGAAAATTTAAAGTTTCAGCTCAAAACAACTGCATATACCCAATATATAAAACCAATTAAATCTTAAAGAGCCATTAACTACCTAATTAGGAAAGTCTATGGAGTTCTAAGGAGCCAGAAAGCCCCTCATTATGAAAAACAGGCTTAGAATAAGCAACACTTTTCTTCTCATTATTCAGAAAGTTCAATCAATTGAGAGCTGAGTATGTACAGTCAGGGAATGGAAAGAAACTGACTTTTCATCTTGCTTTAGGCAGCCGCATATGACAGCTCTAAAGCTAGAACAATGGTTACTTTAGGAACTTACAAGAAACTGAAATAACAGAGATTTTCAATAATGAAGAAATAAGGAGACATACAGAATCAATGTTCTTTAGAAAGTAGCATATCAAACATGGGAAAAAAACTTACATAATCCGTTCACGAGTATTACCCCAAAATGGTATAATGTTGTAATGCTTTAGAAAAGCCAGTAGAAAACAAAGACTCTATATATATATACACACACACACTATATTTATATATGACATATAAGTATAAAACAAAGACTATATAGATTATATATTTATACATATATATAAATGTTGAGTAATGTACTATCTTTTTATGTGATTGGCTTTAAAGGTATTAATACCATGCATAAATTCAATGAGTCTTAAAATACAATTTACTGAAATATTTTTATTTCAGAAGTCTCTGACCTTTCCAGAATCTAGTATCTTCTGAAAGTCTTCCATTGTATTAGCCACAACCATATGAGTCTTAAGGTCTTCAGAAGCCCTACCAAACAAAATTAGAAAACAATACATAATTTTTCTCACAAATATGACAAAGTTTTATGAAACACATAAGCATAATTTAATGAAAAGATAACCTGGAAGTCAGAAGGACTGAATTTGAATCTCAAGTCTGTCACTCACAGTGACCATCAGTATATCAGAGTTACCTTATCATTGCACTATTGTGAGCCTTAAATGCATGGGAAATTTGTTAAGCACACAACAGGTGATCATAACTTTTGTTACTGCTGTTAAATCTCTAATGACCGACATTATTTTCCTGGCATTAACACATTACCTATGGGAGTCTGTGTTATTTTTTAAACCTCCCTGGTCTTAAATATTTCCAGATTCAGAGGAAATATATATAAAAGATATATATATATATATCTTACATCAATATATAAGTGCCCTCATATAAGATGCAGGCATTACCCTCTCTTCTGGTGCCTCTGCCTTGACTGCCTTGAGATCTGTGATTCTAAAAGACTCTCTCCATAGGTGAGGGTGGACCTAAGGCCTTCCTCTATCCCTCATTCCCAATCCTAGTCAGGAGGTTCTCAGCCTTGGCTATATTATAATCCCCTGGGGGAGCTTTTAAAAGTATAGTTTCCAGGTCCTCTCCAGTCCAATTAAATTAGTATCTCTAGGAAGGCACTGGTAGTTACTAGAGCTTCCCAGGTGCTGCGAATGTGTACCCAGCAGATGACAGTCAATACCTGAAGCCCTTGAATTTATATCTCATAAAAGCCTAGATCTAAATTAACCCAAATTAGTCCGGGGGACAGAAACTTCATTGTTGCAAACCTAGTAGGAAGCAGGTGGCACTTAGAAAAATAACCATAATACAAGTAAAAAACCCAGAGAGTGGTGAATTAAGTAGCATGAGGGTTCAGAGAGAGAGAACAAATGCTTCCAACTGGGACAACCCCAAAAATTCCTTGGTAAAGATCTCAAAGGTGGTGGAAGATTTGGAGAGAGAGACATAAGCAATTTTAAGAAACTACCTTGTGAAAAGGGTGACATGGATGTCTTCCAAAATAGCTTGGAGTTTAGTCTCTGCCTCATTTTCAGCAACTGTCAGCTTTTCTCCAGTATCTCGTCTGACAGCTACAAACTGACAGCTCTTCATATCACGTGGCCCAACTTCAAGTCTAATGGGAACTCCCTATAAGATAAAAAAGGCAGTTAAAATGATATATGAATGTCTCCGGTTGAATATACAGATGTAATTCATGGCCTATCTACAACAAATTATAAAAAACCCAAAAAACAAAGGCAAAGCCAAAAAACAAGAAAAAAAAAAAACACACAAAAAAAACAGGTAATACTGCTGAGATACTATAAAAACCTACTCTAGTAAGAAGGTATAAACCTAACACAAAAAATCTACTGCCCTAGTGGTTCTGAGCTAAGGAAGTTCTTCAAGGAGAAACAGAGAGAGTAGTTTCTAGATCAGCATTCCCAACTTTTCTTACAAAATAGCATCCAGAAAATTTATTTGCACAGGAATGGGGTTAAACAAAGATTTTTTGAGGCTACAAGCCACTGAGGGGATCAGTACTATGACACATTTTTGACTCATTCCTGACATGGTGGTATTCTCTGGTTGAAAAGTCCTCATTCTGGATACTCTATCTTTAGCATGCACTATGATCACCTGTAAGGATTGTTAATGCCCAGATTTCAGGGTCCCGCCTCCAGAGTCTTTTATTAGAGTAGGTTGGGGACGGGACGTGAGAATTTGTTTTTTTGTTTGTTTGAAGACAGAGTCTCACTCTGTTGACTAGACTAGAGTGCAGTGGCATGATCTTGGCTCACTATAACCTCTGCCTCCCAAGATCAATTGATTCTCATGCCTCAGCCTCCTGAGTAGCTGGGATTACAGGCACCTACCACTATGCCTGGCTAATTTTTGTATTTTTAGTAGACACGAGGTTTCACCATGTTGACCAGGCTAGTGTTGAACACCTGACCTCAACTGATCTGCCCGCCTCAGCCTCCCAAATTGCTGGGATTATAGATGTGAGCCACTGTACTTGGCCAAGAGTTTATATTTCTAACAAGTTTCCAAGTGAGGCTGACACTGCTGGTCCTAGGACTCCAGTTTAAGAACCACTCCCCTATACTCTTTGGTTTTTCCAAAGCAACTTAAGCATGGACTATATGCAAGTTTAAGACTTGGGAATGTTCAATCTTGTGAATGTGTATCCTGTAAGGGGATTAAAATCCTTAAGGATTAGGGAAACACCACATTTTTCGGGCCCAGAACCTTATTTGATAAATAGTAGATTTTAAATAATTTTTTTGAATGAATAATCCTCTAAAATTAACAGGATTTTCCTAAGTTAGGTGCTTCCATATACAATTTAGATGCCGGGTGGTACACCCAAAAAATGCCATAGGAAAAATTTTAAATATTACTCTAGAAGTCCTTATTTACCCCTAGGGAAGACTTATTTTACAAAATGAGATTTAAAAAAAAAAAAACACACACACACACACACAATGGAACAAACTGTTGTATGCTAAATATGACATTATTTTATTGCTTTAGTTTATTTATCCAATATATTATACTGGATGTATTACATGCATTTGTAAGATACAGTGCTAAGTGCAATGAGATTTAAAAGATGAATAAGAAATACATCTTGTCCTCAAGAAGCTTCATGCTTTGTAGGGTAAATAAGGCACACATATAAACAACAAAAACTAATAAGAAAGTCAGCAGTGAGAGAATATTCCTCAGCTGGAAGAGAGAAGAAAAGTTACTGGAGAAGATAAAAATTAATAAGGAAATTATTCATCATAATTAAAGAACATTCTATAAAATAAGTGACCTATAGTTACAAAAATGCCTATGTCATAAATGACAATGAAAGTCTGAGGAACTACTTCTGATTAAAGAAAACTAAAAGGACATGACAGCAAAATGCAACAGGACTGGACCCTACACCGAAAAAGGAGAGAGCCATTGGTAGCCCACAGCAGGGTGTCTGAGCCTGAGTCAGGCGAGAGGGCATCTGCGCATGAGAACAACCTTGTATAGAGTGACAGAGCACATGAAGGATAAGGAGCACATTCATACAGAGGAGTGGGTGGCAATGGCAATGAGAGATTGGTGGCATACAGGGTGACTAATCTAATAAATTCATGTACTAAGGATAATTAGAGCTAGGTTTTTCATTGTCAGAAAAGGGAATTACGAGCACAAAATGGAGAAAAACTAGAATGCATCCTGTGGTGGTTTTTGTTGCTGTTGTTGTTGTTTTTCCTGAGACGGAGCTTCACTCTTGTCGCCCAGGCAGGAGTGCAATGGTGCAATCTGGGCTCACTGCAACCTCCGCCTCCCAGGTACAAGCGATTCTCCTGCCTCAGCCTCCTGAGTAGCTGGGACTACAGATAGCCGCAACCAAGCCCAGCTAATTTTTGTATTTTTAGTAGAGACGGGGTTTCACCATGTTGGACAGGCTGGTGGCAAAATCCTGACCTCAGGTGATCCACCTGCCTCAGCCTCCCAAGGTGCTGGGATTATCGGCATGCGCCACCGCACTGGGTTCACCCTGTGGTTTTTTATTGGAATTTAAAGTATAGATATAAACTCTTGGTTTTCAACATATATAAATAAACATGGAAATATGGTGGTAAAAGTGTACACGTATCTGTATGTGTGTATGGACATCTACATATATATACATATTCAGTAGCTCCATCTACTGAGAAGGCCTGGGAGAAGTGATAGCTCAAAAGCAATGAGCATACCCAGCACTAAACACCATTCTCCACTCAAAAGAACCAGAGCTTCTTAGAGATATGGCAAATTCCTGGGCCAGGGTAGAAAAAGTACAAGATAAGCCTACAACATCTTGTGCCAAGCAGCAAGGAAGTTCTTAAAGAATGATGGAGAATGTCAAAAGGACACAAAAGCCAGCTTTAAGGGATCATAATGGTCAAACCGGAGACACTTTGAGCATCAAAACAAATAACGTTAGTAGCAGATTCTGTAACCCAGTGCTTCATACTAGAAACCATGGATCCATAAAATATGAATTAGCTAATAGAAAGGCTAATAAGAAATGTGCTGTGTCAAGATCACGATAATCAACGAAAACCTGAGAAATGATTGCAGACTGAAAGAAACTAAAGATACATAATAACTACATACAACACATAGTTCTGAACTAGGTCCTTCTGCTATAAAGAAACACTAGTCAGACAGCTCCTGAAAGCTGAATGAGGGTCTAGAATTAGACTATAGTAATGTATGAACATTACTATACCGACTTGTGTTGTATTATGTAGGAGAATATGTTGGTTGTACTATGTTGGTTGTGCTGTGATTATGTAGGAGAGTATATTTGTAGGGTGATAGAGCATCAGGTTAGCATCTTATTTTCAAATGATTCAAGCAGGAAAAATTAATTATTTGTATTAGACTTGCTTTATTGTAAGTTTGTGACTGTTGCATGATAAAAAAAAATTTACAACCCAGGTAGAAGAAATAGCACAAGCAAAGACATAGAGGTGGAAAAAACAGGCTGTCTGTGAAGAGAGAAAAGGGCATATGAAAGGGGATAATGAAAAGCGAAAGTTGGAAAGGTAATGTGAAGCCAAATCATGGAGGAGGCAAATATTTTGTTGATAGTTTTTTTCTAAAACTAGTTACAAATTTAACTGTAAAAAATGTGTGTTTTGCTTCAACAGCAACACAAAATTATCTTATTCCACATAGTAAAAAGAAAAGTAGTTAATTTACTCAGATCATTTTCCCCTTTATATTTTCATATTATAGGAAGGGGTACCAAGGAATTACAGGAGTTGCTGGGTTCTAGCCTCACAATCAAACCATATTACAGCTCATTTACTAATCTGAATAAGTTTCAAAATGTGCGTATACATCGCTCACACACTTTGGTCAATCGCTGTCAAAGAAATACAAATCCAGAGCTCCTGAAATATTTTTTCTTAGAAATTATTTGACTAAATGGAACTAAAATGGCATTAATCTAATACCTTCCACTAACACCTTCCACTAGATAGTGAACTCTCTTTCTCAATGTTCTTTAACTTGAGGCATCAAGTTTAGAACTTAGGTGCTTTATTTTCTTTCCTGAGGAATACAGACAATGAAGCTGTAGCAGACCCAACTCATACTAAGCATACCTCCCCAACATAGTATAGGCTCACTAGGGTACTAAAAGAAGAGTGACAAAGACAAAGCCAAGTCAGTTTAAGGATGAGAAATGAATAAAAGAGGAAAGGGTACAAAGAAGAATTCAGGAATGAATGTGGATGGTTTTTTTCTTTTTAATCCCACTAGTACCCAGCAATAAATTTCTCCTTTAACATTTTATAGCCCAGGTTAAGTAGAAATTAGTTTAGAGAAACTGCTACTGGCATCACACAACAGCTATTTATAAGTAAGCAAAAAAGAGTGCAATTAAAAAGGAAATGACATGGAAAAAAAATTCATGTTTAGAAGAGCATGTAAAGAAGCTGGTATATTACATAAAAGAGAACAATTATCAATATAATTACCATTCCTTGGCAAAGGAAATTTACCTCAGGGGCCATTTGAAACAAACAAGATGATAAATATTAGCAACTTTGGGAACCCTAGATGTATAAATACTTAATAATCCCAATATTGCTGAGCTTCCATAGTTTGAAAGCTTGCAGCTACAATCTCAACACATTCTCTCATCCCATCGCCTATAATATCAGTTTACACAGTCTCGATTCCTAATTTCTAGATCCAGTAAGATTCCCTCTTTCAGCGTAAGAAAAATTGTTAAATCCCAGAAGTTTATAAAACAAAATTAAGGGCACAGACAATCTATTAATGACAATGTGCAATAAATGAAAGTTATATTACAAACAATAAAGCAGAATGTAGACTGGCTTTAATAAACAAAATAAAAACCAACAAACTGGTATGAAATACTTGGTGTGAAACCTCAAGAACAAAATTAATCTCAGATGTTTCACTATTAGCTATAACAAAGACAGCTAAGTGATGTCCATGCACCGTTATTCTGGTGGTCTATGTAAATAACTTATTTATTGTATGAACTCCTGGCATAAACATTTTAGTATACCAGCTACGTGAGGGAAATCATAAACAAGGGCTCAAGATCATTTTTATTCTAACAGCATAAAAATAAGCTTCCACCAAAACTATTTTAAATTTAGGTATCACTATTACAAAGCTATGAACTGTGTCAGTGCTCAACAGTTTAAGTGAAGAAAAAAAGCCCCCACTATCAAAATAGAGGAAAGTAATGAGAAACTTCAAGTTTTATAAAAACATGCAGAGGAAAATCTAAACTCAAATTGCAGATGTTGAGGGTAAAAGATACAACTGAGGAATTTACCTTGAGCTCCCAGTGATTGAATTTCCAACCTGGAGAATAATTATCTCGTAAATCAGCTCTAACGCGGATGTTAACATTGAGTAACCGCCTTCGATAATCATTGCATTTTGCAATCAGCGCTTCTTTGTCTTCTTCAGAAAGTGCATTGGTAATGCCACACGGAATAATCACCACCTAGAATTCAGCACAATGCCCCAAATTTATGCAAAGAAACAGATACAGAAGCTCTCAGAAGTCGAAACCTACTAGTGGCTTTATTATTAACACAAATCAGCTGTGTGATTTCTAATCCATATATAATGTCTACTAATGTCTGTAAGTGATTTGCAATGTCTACTTGCAAATCACTTACCCATCTAAATGCATTTTCAGCTGACCTACTATATTTCATTTAATCTATTTTACACACACATGCACACATATATATATATTTTTTTTACCCCAACCTCCCAAGTAGCTGGGACTATCAGTGCATGCCACCACACCTGGCTAATATTTTGTAGACTGGATTTTGCCATGTTGCCCAGGCTTAGTCTCAAACTCCTGGGCTCAAGCAATCTGCCTGCCTTGGCCTCCCACAGTGCTGGGATTACAGGCATGAGCCTGCATGCCCAGCTCATTTAACATATTATAAACCGTTTTTAAAAAATGACTTCTAAAAATGTTTATATAAGTAGCTTAAAAATTAAAAGAGTAAGAGACAATAAATAATGTAAATGATACACACAGTTACAAAACACTAGGATCCAGATTGCATTCCACATTGTTTTTATTATCAGAGAAATCTGCCTGAATGATATTCAGAAAATCATCCTTTCGAATTTCCTTTAGTAAATATGGCTTGTATTTTATAAAATGAATGATAAACAAGAATATTTTCCTTACCTGAACACATGCTACACGGGGTGGTAATACTAAACCCATGTTGTCTCCATGAACCATGGTCATAACACCAATAGTTCGAGTCGTCAGGCCCCAGGAGTTTTGATAGGCAAATTGCTTCTCTCCTGGTGTCTTTGGATCTTCAAAAACGATTTCAAACATTTTGGAAAAATTCTGCCCTAAATGATGTGATGTTCCTCCCTAAAGTAGAGAAAGATAAGCTTTATTTTTAATAAACTATTACACCCTTGAAAATGATTACTGTAAGATCACATGCTTTAAAAATGGCACCAGACTTGTCTTTTCTCCCCTTTTTTACATTAAATAAGGTTTTTAATTATAAGCATAATTACCATAACAAGAGATTAAGATTAGTCAAAAAATACTATTTACAAGTATTTTGCTCTGGGCAGCTCCTTTTATAGCAGAAATTTTACCTACAACAGTTAAAAAGGAAATCATATTTTAGTAGTAATTCAGGATATGTATCACGACTTAACGAACCATGGAGACAGAGGAATGGGATAGATTTGCTTGAAATTATTATACAAAAGTACACTAAACATTTATTTTTTAAAAGAGTCTACTTCCGTGATGACAGAAGAAATTATTGGATCTGTCCATGGACTGTGCTTACAGTGACTTATGAATCCTATGTGGCAGTTTGATACCTGGATAGCTCTTCCACTAGCAGATATAAATGCTTCTATTGTAGTTGTATAGTCTCCTCCTGCAAATTTTTCCTTTTCCGTCTTTCTTCCTCTTACAACAGGAATTGCCAGGAGTTCTTCATATACCTGAGCATATAAGTCAAGTATCTGCAAGACCTGTAACATTTTAAATGTAAATGTGTTCAAATTTAGGGTACATTTATTCATTAAGATCTATAAAACTGCACTACTTAAGACTAATTGTGTGGGAAAAGCAATTCGAACAATAAAAACTTCTTTTTATGAAAAGGTTAAAGCAGCCAGTGTGAATTTATTAAGAAAGATACTCAACGAAGCAATATAAAAAGTCAAATAACTTTTTAAAATGTATATATAAGTTTAGAATATAAGAGAAAATAAATGTTGCGAAAGATACACAATATCAAAATGAAAATTTCCTGAAAAATAACTTTTTATACACATTAAAGCCCAGAAGTATTTTCACCTAAAAATTTAAGAGCCTATTTCCCTTATTAATAACATTCCAATAAGCAGTTACTGAAATCCATGTACATTTGAATTACTTTGATTTTGCTTTTAACAGGTGTTACATACATTTTAAATAACAAAATTGCAGAGCCTGAACCAAAAAAATGGAACATAGTTAATATGGAAAATAACTTTTTATACCTCTTCCGCTGCCTCTTCCATGGTAGCAAAAGCACTGTGCCCTTCCTGCCAAAGAAATTCACGAGTACGTAGGAAAGGCTGAGGGTGCTTGAACTCCCAACGCTGGAAGAGGCAAGAAAACAATTTAGTCATTATAAAGAGCTTTTCAATTTTTTTTTGGAAACAGGATCTTGCTCTGTCCCTCAGGTTGGAGTGCAGTGGTGCAATCATGGCTCACTGAAACCCTCTGCCTCCCAGGCTCAAATGATCCTCCTACCTTAGCCTCCCAAGTAGCTGGGCTACAGGTGCACATCAACACACCTGGCTAATTTTTAGTAGAGATGTGGTTTTGCCATGTTGCCTAGGCTGGTCTCAAAATCCTGGGCTCAAGTGATCTGTCTGCTCAACCTCCCAAAGTGCTGGGATTATAAGCATGAGCCACCATGCCCAGTCACTTTCCAATTTTTATTACCATTTTATATAATAAGTAATCAAAAATCACAATTTATCTTAAATACTTCAAAAATAGTTCCATACTCCCAATCCTTTGAAAATAAAAACAATATATATATATATTTTTTAAAGAACATGAATAATAATAGAATATAAGAGGAAGTGAATACCTACCACCACATTGCACCACTGATTGAGCTTGATGGGCAGGTCTCTGTGTGACTGCACCCATTTTGCATATGCAGGATACATTACTGAAAGACATGAGAAAATAGAGACAGTCATTTAAGGCTTTATTTCTCCTTTAAGGCTGTAAGAGCTAAACCAGCAAGATGATTAGTAGGAATTAAAATGTAATAAATAAATTTGAAAAATAAAATGTATGTTTGTGTAAATATATTTCCAATGTTTATAATAAGTGAATAGTATTATCTATTTCATAAAGTGTATTACTCAAGGATACAAATCTAAAGTTGATCATATTTTACATTCTTCACAGAAGATTTTACATTCTTCATATAATAGTTAATGTACTTTGACGGTTTTCACGTTTGGTTTTTAAAAACACGAATAAAGGTCATGTCCTACGTTAAGCTCTCTGCATTCATTGGCCTGTTCAATTCTCGCATTCAACCCATAAGTAAGTATCATAATCTCAGTTTTAAAGATGTGGAAAGCTGAGTTTATAGAAGCTAAACAATTTGCTGAATCCAGCAGTTATGTATGAGAAGCAGAATTAATTTATATCTATCTGATGCACCTATTCAGAGTATGAAAGCTCTTGCAATGAATTGCAAAGTGAAGATATCTGTCTTAGAATAGCCTTCTCATGATCTATAATTAGTAAACCAAAACAAACACAACTTTGCCAAATAGTCTCAGAGAAAAAAACTGGTATCACAATATTAATAATGTATTATACAAAAGTATCACTAGAAATATCAAATAAGAACAAACAATCCTGAACTCTACAGATGAACGATCACTTTCAAAGATGCTGTAAAGCCCAAAACCTCAACTTTTCCAACGGCATTATCATTTACCATATGTAATTTTAGAAAAATCATTTAATCTTTCAGAGACTTTTCTTTACCTGCAAAATGGAAATCACAATAACTGCCCCTGTCTTCCTCACAACACTGTTGTAAGAATAACACAAGATGATGTAGAAGTACTTAGCGACCTACGGACACCCTACATGAATGCAAATCTAAATGTATTATTAAAATTTAAAAATAATTATGGCATAAACATTTGTATTTGCAATATTATAATCAATTCCAACAATAAAAATTATTCTAGGAATAAAATTCCTTGAAAAGTCCTAAAAATTTACAGCATAAAAATGAGTAAATTTAAAATCCTATAATTTAATGATAAAGAGCTCTGCAATGACTATTAGAGAACAAAACTCTAGACAACCTAAGTCTGCATTCAATCGTTATCAACACTCATGAAGTTTTGTATTGTCAACAGGGATTATACCTATCACAAAGCGAAAGCTGAGACTCAACTCTAGAAGCTGTCTCTATTGTTCATTGAGCATTCTCCTGCACTCTAAGGCCTGTTCTCACCTGTTTCACTAGTAGGACGAATGGCAATTGGTTCTGCCAACTCGGTTTTGCCAGATCTTGTAACCCAAGCAACCTAGTAAGAAAAAATCATTTTTCATACATTTTTTTTCAATAGCATTTTGGAGCAACAGTACAAATGCAGGCAAATTTCCTCTGTTTTAATTTTTGCTATATCAATTTAGGCAAGTTAAAATAGTTGCTGCTGTTCACTGTGAGGAAAGGTATGCACTTACTGACCTTCTAAATATTAAGTCAGTTAATTAATGTGACAAAATCATTACTTGCTATAAAGGTAGAAACAGAACTTTTTAACAAAAATGGCTTTACATTTTTCAAAATTGGTTGTTAAACTCAAAAGTTGAAAATATATTTTCAAGTTTGTCAGAGAACACTGCAAAAAAATAAAAAAGAAGCTCACTTACCTCCGGGGCAAAGTCAGCAATATGAGTCTTCTCTTTCTCTAATGCACCTTGAGACACAAACATGGGGAAGTAGCAGTTTTCAACACCAAGTTTCTTGATCCCAGCATCAAAAAAGTCCTTGATGGCTTCCCAAATGGCATAGGCCCAGGGACGAAGAATATAACAGCCACTTACGTCATGGTATTCAATCATTTCTGACTTTGTGATGACCTTTTTAAAAGAAAAATAGTCTTTAAAGCTTACATTCAACCAAAATTCTAGTGTAAGTGGCAAGAGTATGATAACCAAAATTCAAATCTGGAGGCTTCTACTGCTGATACATCCCCATAATGTGGGAGGTCATAATGGAAGTAAAACAGACCTGACTATACTGAAAAACAACATATAACAGGGTTCCAAACTCTCAATAAAGCCTGAATTCCACTGGGCGTGGTGGCTTACACATATAATCCCAGGACTTTGGGAAGCCGAGGTGGGTGGATCGCCTGAGGTCAGAAGTTCGAGACCAGCCTCAAATATGGTGAAACCCAGTCTCTACTAAAACTACAAAAATTAGCCGGGCATAGTGGCGTGTGCTTGTAGTCCCAGCTACTCGGGAGGCTGAGGCAGGAGAATTGCTTGAACCCAGGAGGTGGAGGTTGCAGTGAGCCAAGATCACACCACTGCACACCAACCTAGGTGACAGAGTAACACTCCCATCTCAAAAAAAAAAAAAAAAAATTGAATTCCAATCCTGTCTCTGCTCTTGACTATATCTTTGTGGCCTTGAATTAATCTCTTTACTTGAACATTAAAAAAAAAAAAAATCACTATCAGGACTTCATGTGAACATGTTGAAAAATAGTGTCATATTAAATGACTACAATATGTATTAAAGGCATTATATAACATTGTTACTATTGCCTTTGTGGTGTATTTTAGAATCTAAACATAAAGCAGCCATTGAGACTTAAAACATAAAAATCAACTGAATGCATACTCACCTGAGAATACCAATCAGCAAGATTTTCTTCTTTTTTTGCCTCAAGACCCAACCTGCAGATATGAAAAGTACAAGATAAATCTCTTCATTCAGCAACTGCTTTTAGGTTGAATAAAACCTCTAAAGTTCAAAATAGATTAGTTTTTCTTCAGTATGAGTTATTTCCATATTTGTAACTTCTCTATATTCATCCCCAAGATAATATTGTGTTTTCTTGTTTTGTTTTTAAGACAGGGTCTCACTCTGTCACCCAGGCTGGAGCGCAATGGTGTGATCCTGTCTCACCGCAACCTTGGACTCCTCAGCTCAAGAGATTCTCTCGCCTCAGCCTCCTGAGTAGCTAGGACTACAGGCGCATACAACATCTGGCTTATTTTTTTATTTTTATTTTTTGGTAGAGTCAGGGTCTCGCTATGTTGCCCAGGCCAGTCTTGAACTCTTGGCCTCATACAATCCTCCTGCTCCGGCCTCCCAGAGTGCAGGGATTACAGGCATAAGCCACCATGCCTAGCCCCTAAGATAATGTTTTTAACCTAAAAAACAGTAGAAATGCCGGGCACAGTGTCTCACACCTGTAATCCCACCACTTTGGGAGGCCGAGGCGGGCAGATCACCTGAGGTTGGGAGTTTGAGACCAGCCTGACCAACATGGAGAAACCCTGTCTCTACTAAAATTACAAAATTGAATTAGACAGGCTATCGGTTGGTTGCATGGCCTGTAATCCAGGCTAACTTGGGAGGCTGGAGGCAGGCGAGGAATGAATCGCTGAACCAAGAGGTAGAGGCTACGGTAGAGCTGAGATTGCGTCATTGCACTCCAGAGCCTGGGCAAACAAGAGCAAAACTGCCGTCTTCAAAAAAAAACAAAAAACAAAAAAAAAAACCCAAAACAGCCAGAGACATACCTCTATAAAAAATATGTTGAGACCATTATCCAACAAAATCTGGAAAGCCATGTAACAAAAAGCAATATGATTCTATGCTCTCGAGCAGACATTCCTTTTTACAAGGTTTTTTTAGTAAATGAATTTGGTGTAAAATAGAGACAGAGCTGTTTCACACCTATTCCCCACTAAAAAAGAACCTTATGCCAGTTAAAATTATTAGTAAGATCCCATTTCACTAATAGGAAGGTAATAACCTAAAAAGTAATAAAACAATGGGCTATAAATACACATTATGTGTGCTTACTTATTCTGTCATATTAAACCAATTATTACAAGGTTTTTTTTTCTTTTTGAACAGGTCTCATCCAATCACCAGACATGAGTGCAACTGGTCCGATCTCAGCTCACTGCAACTTCACACCTCCCAGGTTTAAGTAATCGTTGGCCTCAGGCCACCCCTTCCCCGCAACCCGAGCCAGGCTGAAATTACAGGTATGTGCCACATGCGGTTAATTTTTTTTTGTAATTTTAATAGAGACGAGCTTTGAACATGTTGGCCAGGCTGGTTCTGACTCCTGACCTCAAACTTGAATCCGCCCACACCCAGCCCCCAAAGTGCTGGCATTACAGGTGTGAACACTGACACCTGGGCCTCTTAGTTTCTTTTAACTAGAATAAAAGTATGCGGATAGACGCTGTAAAATAAAACTGGTCTGTAATAAAAAATTATTTTCAACAATAATCATTTTTTGAAAATCAGCAAGCTTATCAGGATAGAGGAATGTTCTCTTCTGGAGTTTAGAAACAAAGTTGTTTACTGGGCTATAAAAGTTTTTAAGTATTTACATTTTGCATTCTCCATTGTTTCCTATGGACATAGCCTCAAGAAAATAACTCTATGGGAAACCTAGCACTTTTCAACCCAAGCACTAGAAAGTAAAAGGTGAAACAGGTTCTACACTCTCTTCCTACCGCGGTGCCCTATAACCTCTGGCTATTCAGTGTTATTAGGTCAAAAAGGCAAAAATATCTGGTTGCAATTCTTTGATTTAGGAGAACTGGCGTGTAATGATATGGCAGGAGCTAAGAGGCACAAAATGTTCGATACTCAGCTAAACAAATGTAAAACCCAAAGTATTCGTCAGTAACAGTTTTTTCTTTCTTATTTAAGCCATTAAGGAAACTCATCATAAGTCACTCTAATTGTGGAAAGGACAAAAATTACAATCATGCGATCAACTGTAATAACATGGAATATATTCTGAAGAAATACGTTGTTTAGAGGTGAATGTTCATCATTGGTGGCAAAACATTCATAGGCTTGTTATACTTTCACATTGCCACAGCTCAAGGCGCCATATATCAGTTTTTTACAAGCTCTGTTATGATGGTTAGGGGACCAATGGTCACATAAGTAGTCCACTGTTGATGGACCACTCATTTATGTTTGGTGGTATGGAACTGGCGACATTATTCACACAGATTGGAGATCCTGAAGAGCATCGTTCTCTCACTTAGTCCCCATTAAAAGATCGTTCATTTGGAAAAAAATCTTGCTTAAGCGTGCAAAACAAGTGTATAATTAGGTACCAATTATTGTTTTAACAAGGTAGGAGAGAAACGATGTATTATATTGTGTGGGTGTGTGATATATTAAATATATTTGTATTTAACTGAATATAAAATGAAATCGCCAACAGACACAGAAGAAACTGTTAACAGTGGCTACCGATTGGATTACGGGTGGTGGGGGCAAAACTGGAAAGAGTGGGAAACACGCACAGGAACTCTTATTATTCTGATGATTGCTTGAACCAAAACAAAGTGCGGTTACCTATTTTAAAAATTAAATTGGAAAATTAATAAAATGCTATTCTGCTGACATTACAGTTTTACTCGTTCTCTAACCTAAGGTGGCATAAACTAATCAAAATTTGTTTTTAAAAAATATTAAGAGTGGAATTCATTCCCAAAGCTCTCGTCTTTTGGCTTCAAATGCAAGTTTTCTGCCAATTCATTACCTGGTCTGTTTCCTTAGGGGGCCCTGCCCTTCTTCCTGCTTCCACTTTGTGACAGTCCACCTCCTTGCGTATTTTAGGGAAGGGTCTTTCCTTTTGGCCATCATTTTGTTTCTGAGAGGCTTATATTCTGCTTTTCAGATTTTATTTTCTTTTTTCTTTCTTTTCTTCTCTATCTATGTCCCAGCTCCCAGTGGCTGACACAGGGCTTATACTTTACTCCTTTATCAAGACTTGTACTGTGCCTTTAGCTGGATAGGAGTTCTTGTACAGCTATATCTATTATGATCTTTAGTTTAACCAAAAGAGGAAAAGAAAAGAACCAGTATTTAATTCAAGTCATTGTCTAAAGCACATCTTAAATACAATGCTCAAAGCTTTTCTTTTACTCCCCCAACATCAGATGGGTAATGCTGCCCAGGTGTGTAGATTAAGTTTGAGGGAGGAGGCATATCTCACATATGAGCTGGTGAAAACCCAACCATCACACTTAGGAACTACCAAAAGGGATCTGGTCCAAAGTTAAAGCAGATTTTGCCAACACAATTAAAAGACAGGAGGATTTGGGGACAGAAGGTTTGCGGCGTAGAGTGTTACACCAAACTATTGAATATTATAAAGCATTATTTATAAACAGGGATAGAACTTGTGCAAACTGTGACTGCGAAAAATAGCATGGTCATAACTGCACATCGAAATAGCTAGTCATGTGGTTCATTTTAAAGTAAAATTAAAATTAAAGAATTCACTTCCTAGAGTCACTCATAATCACATTTTCAAAAATGCTCATGTGGCTAATGACTACTGTATTACGGACAATTACTGTTATAGTAATATTTCCATCACTGCCAGAAAGTTCTTACTAGAAAGCACTGGTACCTAACATGTATTTCCATAGGAATCCTAAGTTAAAAGATTAATTACATATTGAACATTTTCACAATTATAGGCCGGGCGCGGTGGCTTCAAGCCTGTAATCCAGCACTTTTGAAGGCCGAGACGGCGCGCGATCAGAGGTCAGGAGATCGAAGACTTAGCCTGGCCAACACGGTGAAACCCGCTCTAACTAAAAAAATACCAAAAACTACCCCGATGCGGGTGCCTGTTATCCCAGCTTACTGGACTGAGCAGAGAATGGTAGACACCGGAGCGGAGCTTGGCAGTTGAGCTAAGATCCGCCACTGCCCCC